TCACATTACCAATTTGTACTTATCACTTATTATGTTGTTTTAAATTACAATATGAACAATTTTCAAAATTCATAATTTTTATCAACATATAAATGTTGTAGATTAGTCAAAAATTTATTACCTTATATAAACTCCAGTATAATAATGGAATATATGTAAACTACTTTCTATATATAATTTCGGACAATAAACAGTAACTCACAAAGTGTTGGAACAGATTTACAGTTTTTATAAAACTTAATTAAACTTACAACAGATTTCGATTAATTCCAATTTATTTATATAACTATGTAGTACACTAAATATTCCTTTTTAATTCTAAATAAACAACTAGGTTTGTTTGTTATTCTGTATATATATATATATATATATATATATATATATATATATATATTTGTTATCATAGGGATCGAAATTTTAAGTAAACCGTTTACGGGTAATTTTACAAAATAAAGGAGGAAAAGAAAGGCTTTTTTTAAAAATATATAAATTTTTGATTGATATCATGAACCGATTGATGTTAGACCACCATCAAAAACCCCGAAGCACTGGATGGCCCTTCCATCCTATTGCGATACTCCTCAGCAGTGCGCATCCACGATCCCGCTCGCGGGGTTCGAACCCAGGGCCTTCGGTCTCGCGCGCGAACGCTTAACCTACTGGACCACTGAGCCAGCATCTAATGGTGTTAATGTCTAACCTCAACCAATCCACGAAGTTGAGCGACCATTTCTCATTGTACTGAGGTAGACACCTGTTTCTACCCGACACGGATTAGCTCCACTTGTCACGGCTTCTCACTAGAACTCCGAGCATTTTCTCAAGAAGCTAACCACTATTGAGCACATGGTAATTATCAGTTAAGAGGTTGTGGAGATTGTTAAGTGTTTGATTGAGATAATGAACCGATTGAGGAGTTCCGCAATAGGACGAAACGGCCGTCCTGTGCTACCAGGTTTCCAAAGGTGATGGTCTAACATCAATCGGTTCATGATCTCAATCAAAAACTTAGCAATCTCCACAACCCCTAAACTGAAAAATATAAATATTGGAACGCTGATATTAAATGTTTTCAAGAATAATAATAATAATAATAATAATAATAATAATAATAATGAGCTTTAAATAAATAAAGGACTATAAATTTACAAGATCAATTTAAACAATCCATTTTGATATATCTGTTTATGACATTGAAAATTAATTGAAGTGTATATTCTTATTTGAATATCTTTATATAAAATGTCTTAACAATAATTGAAATCTTTATGTATTCAGTAGTTTTATTAAGTGGATAATCTTCTCTCATATTAATATACCTAAAATGATTGGATAACTTAATTCAATGAAAAAATGATGATTTATACAGCAATGTATTAATTGGTTTATTTTAGAATGAATGGAACTATACTTAAAAAGTATTTATATATAGTTTGTATGCTTAAATGGTGTATTAGTTATATAATCAACTAGTCTATATATCAAATAATAAGGAAAACAACAGGACAATTAAGTTATCTGTAAGTTATAGGATAATTTTAAATTTAACAGTTAAATGTTTCTATTAAATCATTCTAATACTTTGATGAATGACATTTCAAGTGTTGAATCATAAAGCTTAAATGTATTGTTTACGTGAAAGTTAGTTATACTTTGTTCCATTCAAAGTTTTAACTTTTTCAAGTCAACTGAATATAAGAACTGTAGACTTTGTTCTATAGACTGAAATTAATTAGAAAATAATTGAAGACTAAGAAGTATTGGACATCTGTTTCGTCCTAGCATGAGGCTCATCGATAGTGCATGTTTATTATCCCACCACGGACAAACGCCACAACATTCAGGTTTCTGTAAGAACGCTCAACCTTAGTATCATTAGTTGTTATTCAATAGTTTACATTTCTAACGTCAATTTAACTCGTGGTACTGCCACACAATCTCTTAGTACCATTGGTGGGTAACTATCTCATTCGTGAAATAGCCATAATCAACTGGTCATGATTTAACGTGAGAATATTACATAGTTTGGTCCATCTTTTTTCTGTTGTTATTACTAAATGAAACTATCACTAATAAAAAGGTTTATAATCCTTTAATTAATTCTGTTTCTATCATGTGTTTTTCATAGCACTTAACAAGTCTATTAATGACAACAAATTGTGTTAATCCTTTTCCATAAATTTTATATTAGTAAGCGTTATTGAAGTCATCAACTTTTTTTATCCACATTTCTTCTTGGAAAAAAATGTGATTGATTTTCGATACTTGTTGATACTGAACAAATATACACCAGCATCTGATATCACTCCATCCATATTTGGATGAAGCATTAGATAAATAAAATTTGTTATATTTTGATTATCGTATACAGAGGATTTACTATAGGTAAGGTTATTCATTAGATACTTATCATTCTTTTTACCTGCCTTTAAATTAATTGAGTATATGTAAGCATTAAGCTATTGAACATTAACTATATTTACCTTCTTGATTAGTTTAGTTCAAAAAAGACAGTAAAAACTAGGGTACATATGTACATAAGTTACAACATTTCGTATAAATAAACTAGTTTCTATGTGTAGTAAACGAGAACACAAGTGGGAACCATCGAATGTAATAGAATACAAAATTACAGAATATTTTAGTAAAACCTGAAAACCGTATAGTAAATACTTCATTTGCAAAATATCAGTAAATCGTCTCAGACTTCACTGTTCCTTCGTTTCCATACCAATAATTCTCTGTTTTTGTTTTCTTTTCTTCGATCTTCGTAACCTTCTGCTTCCAGGCATTTCACTTTCGATCGATGATACACACTACTTATATCTGTCGACATCAGTAGCACACACCACATTGTGTATTCTTAATATAAGTTGTTCATCTTTAATGAAATAAACCATGCATCGATTTCATTTGAGCTTATACTAAATTATTTGAAAATAATTTGGATATATTTTAAAATCGCAATGAAAATAATTGAAAGCTACTCCACATAATAAATGAAATTTTTAGAAGAATTTATTATGTAAATATGTGTACTGATTTAGTTTGGTGTAGTAGTGCCAATATTTTGAATGGCAAGATATAAATTTCACGACGTCACACTAAACAAAGTCAGCTTTATTAGGTATACAGTAAGTTAAATCTAAAGATTAGCTAAGACCGAATATTTTCTTTAAAGTTTGACCATAGAAAAAAATCTTCTGTATGCTGTCAATAATTAATATATTATTAATACTAGTACTGGTATTAGTACTTGCAGGAGTAGTAATATTGAATTGAATTACACAAATTTCAGTTAATGAAGATGTGGATTGGTGAGAATAATTTTCTCATATTAAGCTTTATCGCTTTGCTAATTGATTCCATTTAATAACGATGATAAAATGTAGCTCCTTAATTAACTTCTTATACATAACTAAATCGTATTAATGATAACGAAAGCATATATTTGATACATAGAAATCAGTGGAGGGATGATGTTGGATGGATGCAGTGAATAGAGACATCACCATCCAACTTACTAAAAATAAGTTTATTTATCAGCTTATATAGTTCGCCTTGTACATAATGACGAAAATGTAGATTTATGGGAAATATACAGATGTAAGGGGTCATGATTGATTGTATAGCAGTACTTACAATGTAACCAATAAAGTTACAATTGTACATGAGAAATTCAAATAATTGTTTGTATCAGTCTGTTATATCAATGAACAATACAACTAAAATTATCTAAAAGAATCTCTTAAACTCTAGAAATCGTTTACCTTATTAATTTATTCAAACCAATAAACAAGATTTAGGTTTTCTCTATTAGAAAACAATACAATTAAACAGAATTTTAAATGAACGATTAGTAATTATTCAAGTTTGTTGTCATTCATGAAATTATTCTCTCTGGAAATTTAAACACTAACTTTTAAGTAGTTACAGTAGATTTAATTATAAAAACTTATAACTATATTCAAATATCAGAAGGGGTTTTGTGGATATTATATTAATTTTAATGGTTGAGATCATGAGTCAATTGCAGCTAGACCACTATGGAAAACCTGGAAGCACTGGACGGCCATTCCGGCCAACTGTGAGACTTCTCAGTAGTGCGTATCCATAATCCCGACTCTCGCGGGTTTCGAACCCAGGACCTGCCACTCTCAACATATGCTCACTAGCGACGGTCTCCAAGAGGTATTTCCTGGAGTCCTAGCGAGAAGCAGTGACCAGTGGAGTCCAACCGAGTTTGTTGTCAAATAGTAACTCACAGATAATAATGGTGGATGTGTCGTCCAATTTCGTGGATCAGTTGAAGTTAGACATTAACACCGTTGGATGCCTGCTGGCTCAGTGATGTAGTAGTTAGGCGCCCGCGCGCGAGAATGATAGTTCGTGTATCCAAATCTCGTGAGAGTCGGGGTTGCGGATGCGCACTGCTGAGGAATCCCACAATAGGACGAAACGGACTTTTAGTGTTTTGAAGTTTTCCATGGTGGTTTAGCTTCAGTTGACTCATGATCTCAACTATTAAAATTTGTATTCAAATATTTTTTAGTCATTCACAATCGTAAATAGTATATATATATCAGGATGGAAAGAAAATTCAAAATTCGATTGATTTAATAATTATGAGCTTGTTCAACATTCAGTATAGTATTTGTTTTCTTTCCTCTTATGATATTTTATTCTGTATAATATACGATATTCTTATACTTAATTGACATGAACTATGCTCAGTATGTAATTTCATCCCAGTTATTAAAGTGTGTGTGTACAATCAATATATAAATGAGTTTATTTTCGACTAGGGTCGTTGACACTGTTTGGAATAACATTCCTTTCAGTAGCCTTCTGTCTTTTCATTATGACTTGGAAGGGTTCTAGTGTTCAAGTACTTAAGTTATACGCGTCATATCAGAATATGAGCTTTAGATATTATATATAATTATTATTACTTTTATTTTCTGTAATAGTTAATCTGATATGTAAGTATATCAACAAAAATGGATTCCAACGACTTCAGTTATTGGGGTAAACAAATGATTGATTTTATATCAAATTATTTACAAACTATACATAAATATCCTGTTTTACCAAATGTGGAACCTGGTTATTTAAAACATTTAATACCTAATCAACCACCTGAACAATCAGATACATGGATGAATATATTTGACGATGTGAAAAAATTTATTTTACCCGGTGTAAGTTTTAATCAATATCAATAGCATTATATGTGTATATTTAAGGATCAATTCTTTGATTTTTGTTTTTTAAATGTTTTATTAAATAAGTTTAAAACTGATTCTTCATAAAGTAATTCTGTTTTTTAAAAAAGAACATCATTAGAATATATATTGAATAGTGAAATTTCACTATTAGTATCTCAGATACTCTTAAGTGAATAGAAAATCTTATCATTGAGACGTGAAATTCAATATATGGTAAAGTATCAAAAATATGAAGGCTAGAATATGTAGAAAAGTGATACACCTTAAATGAACTTCAGCTACAATCTATTCACATTTCTCAAAAATGATTTAATGGTAATCTTTGAATTTATGAAATTTATTCCTTTCCTTTTTGTAATTCTTTATATAAGCTGACTCACTGGCAACATCCTCAATTTCATGCTTATTTTCCGGCAGCGAATTCAGTACCATCAATCATGGCTGATATGTTATCTACGGCACTAGGTTGTAATGGATTTTCATGGGTAAGAAGGCATTATGTTTTATGTTTTTTGAGTAAAAGTATAATATGATTTATCAATCTATTCACAAATAATTTCCTACACCGTTCCCTACATTTGCATTGTATTACTAATATATATTTTAAGTTAGTATAGATCATAAATATGTCAACATTAAATAGCCACTGAAATCTATTGCTTATAACTACTCTGGGCAATTATTAATTCATACATTGTCTTAAATTTCGAAGCGAATTCTTATAGTTTGATCTAATAAAGTGATCTACATGAAAGCTAAAAACATACATGAAGTTGTGTGTAATGTTGTGTTAAAAGTTAAAACTGTGTTAATCCTAATAAAGGTGTCTAGAATTTCGAAAATTATAGATTTACTCTTATTAAGAAGAACAAAAAAAACAGTAATAAAATAATTTATATTTTTGAGTGTTCGTTTCCCTTTTGCAAAATCTATTCAGAATAAATGAATGCTGTTAATTTATTGTTTGAAAGTAAACAATTTAACTAAACTATAACATCATAGATCATTCTTAATGGTAAACAAAAGTTAGATATACTTTAAAAATCACATCAGAACGCGGTAGGTAGATAAAACATCTATTAAACAAGCAACCTGAAAGTTGTATGAATAGTTTAACACTAGAATAAGTTGGATTAGATCATATATAAGTAAATTATGTAAAATCCCACTAACTATTTCAATAAAACAATATAAAATATTTCAATGGTTGACATCATGAGTCAGTTGAATCTAGACCACCATGGAAAACCTGGCTTTCCACGGTGGTCTAGATTCAACTGACTCATAATCTCAACCATTGAAACTACTATAGTATCCACAAAACTCATTCTGAAATTTAAAAAAATGTTAATTCTGAAGACTTGGAGTTACAGTTCTTATTCACCTATTGCATACTAAATGAATCAAATGAATTAATAATGAATGAATTAGAGTCTTCTTTATTTTAAGTAGTTTGCTCCCATTTTATATTTTCTTTGAGGTTGCAAGCCCTGCAATTACAGAATTGGAAATCTTGATGTGTGACTGGATTGGAAAGCTTTTAAATCTACCTGATACATTTTTGCATAGTAGCGGAATCGGTGGAGGTGTAATACAAGTAAGGTCAACAAATTATTACAATAAATTATTCAAGATCATAAACCTTACCAGTAATTAAACTTAAAGCTTTGTCTATTCAATCCTTTTTAATAAAATTTAGTATTAAGTGAATACAGATAGTTTAATGAACCATTCATTCATTCAAGAAAGTTCTCAGTTATTAGATTTCAGAAAGGGGTTTTTGTGATGATTATAGTAATTTAATAGATGAATGCATGAGTCGACCAAAGCTAGACCATCATGGAAAACCTGGAAGCACTGGACAAAGTTCTAGTGAGAAGCCATGCCTAGTAGAGTTCAACCAAGGCTATTGCGAGGTAGTAACTCACTGAAGACAATGGTGGATGATGGCACAATTTCGTGGATTATTTGAAATTAAACATGAACACCGTTAGATGCCGGCTCAGTGCCTAGAGTTTAAGCATTCGCGCGCGATATCTTAGGTCCCATGTTCGAATCCTGCGGACGGGATCGTGGATGCGCACTGCCGAATATATACACCACTCGATAATGACAGAAGGGCTTCATGGTATCAAGATCTTTACAAGATCAAAAACTGGATTCACACTTGATAGACATCTAAGGTACGAACTGATAAGGGATCGTAAACTCAGTAATTCTATAGATTATATCACTTTGTGATTTTATGGCTTATTTTATAGCTTTAAAAATCTCCAATGAATCATCTAAGAATTTAAAGATCTATTCTTATTTTTGTAAAACGATCAGCATCTTCATTTTTCTTTGAGTTCTCTGATTCCTATCGTGATGAAAATGATCGTATTTCGCTTGTAAATTATGTCTACTTTCAGTACACTATTTATTATTATGAATCAGTTGTAGTTGATGAGAATAAGTTAGCGATTTTTATAAGGCAGCTGTTTCGTTCTCTGACTGGGCTCCACATCAGTGAACATCTGAAAACCTACTGGGAATCGAACTCACTATCTTTGGGTTATGCTAGTTACGTAGAATTATCTTATAACTATTCTTCGACTCCGTTCTGAAAATCTATTCTAAAAAGAGAAAAGTCGGAGGAATAGTTTAGGCGAAAATGGTAATTAATTAATCTACTAAGGGAGATCAGGTTAAATGAAATGGTGGCTAATCAAAAACAGTTTTATTTTTTTTAAAAACTGCCTACCAGTGATTCAACAAAACGTAACACCTCAACTATATGTAATAAATCCTTCTACCTTCATCTTTCTGCTGAACAACATAGAATTACTTATTTTACACAGCAAAATCTACTTCTCTTCTTAACTGATCGGTGCAATCACTTTTCTCTTTTTAATACTTGTAGTCGTCGGCAAGTGATTGTATATTTGTATCAATGTTAGCTGCTCGTCATCAAGCAATTGAGCGTTATAAACATCTTTTAAAAATGATCAGTGATTTAGACCCTGAAATAATAGTTCTCTCCAAACTTGTGGCATATGCATCCACGTTAGTAAGTTTAACTTCTCATTCTCGTATACTTACTTTTATTGGAAGATATGGTGAAGTTGTTGTTAACTGATCAATCCTTTCTCCTTCTAACCCCTAAATACCTGGTTTGTAGATTTATGCACTTAGACTGGTACTAAATCTAATTTATGTGAGCGCTAGTGATTCTCTATGTTTCTGAAAGTGACGTACATGAAGCATGGTTCAGACCTGCGATGTATCAGTTGAAAGCTGAGAGTTTAAAGCTCTAAGCCACTCAATAGCAAGTATAGTTAAGTGGTTAAAGTTTAACTTGGTTATTGTTACAAATAGAAAAATGGAAGAACCACCTTCATTCTAGAATAGTCCTTTACTGTTTAAAATTTCTTGTATAAATAAAAGGGTAACTTCTCTCGTATTTACACAAACACAAGGTCAGTTGACTAGCATTTTTGACACATACTTTGTCAAAAAAATTATCTCAAGTATCTACTTAATTTCAAAACTATGTAAGACGCTAATTAGACGCATTCTGTAAATAACTATTTTGTCTTAAAGATAAGCTATTTGAAGCTTATTCAGAGAATCTGAAGAAAGCATTACTTGTATTTTTCCTACGCAAAAATTTCGATAGATTTACATACACTGGTATTGTTTACCTTTAAATGGTCAACCGAAGAAGCTTTCTGAAAAATCTTTGATTGAAATAAAATCATAGGTGAGACTATAATTTATGGACGACTTTTGAAAGACGCTAAAGTGACCTTGAGAGTGTCCACTTATTAACAAGGACAAAATGAGGGTTATAAACCTGTGCGAGGAATTAGAATTATGGTTTAGAGTTGATGGTTAAGGTTAGGAATTAGATTTAGAGTTTTCATCATGAACTAACATCGGCTTTAATGCTAAAACTTTATTTAGCTCAAAAACTCCGACACCTGTTATCTTATGTCTGATTGGTTTGTCCATAAATTATAGTCTCACTGAACTGTTTCTTCTGTAGAAAATGTTTTACTTGCCATAATTTCAAATCTTCGTTAAAAATTTAAATCATGTTCGTTAACTTACACATTTTTTCATGGTTTATAGGCTCATTCAGCTGTAGAAAAGGCTAGTGTGCTTGGTTTTGTAAAGTTACGACGTTTACCGGTCGATGAAAACTTTAGTGTTCGGGGTGAAACTTTACAACGTGCTATTAAAGTAAGATAAGTATTTTGTTTATAGGAAATCTTCACTTCTTACTCCTCATTATAACGGAAAGTATATCTTTTTATAATTATATAGTTATTCAGTTTTACAGCATAATAACTCAGTAGTGAAGAAAAGGAGCTCTCTGAGAGACCAGTAGTTCATGTCCTTAATTCTGTGTTGGCTAGTATATACACAATGTTAAAGGATCCGAAACTAAAACGAAACAGATGTCTAATAGTTTTTATTTTTCAATGGTTTTTCAGATGTTTCTTACACCTGATGGAAGCTATTTATATACTAAACAACATCTCCATAGAACAACCTTACTTACTTACTTACATATATAAATACTTATTTACTTACGTCTGTTATCCATCGTGATGCATAGGTCATCGATTATGAATCCTTAGTTAAAGCTGTGCTGCCTTCGCATTCCCACATTTTGCTAGATACCATTCATTATTTTGAAATCTGACTCGAATTCTTTGTGTAGTGTGTTCTTTGATGTGCATCTTTTCCTTCTACCCTGAGGATTCCAAAGTAGGACTTGCTTTGTGATTCAGTTTTTGATGTATGTCTATCCACCTCGAGCATTTTTCCCATTTTCCTCCCTACTTAGAAGTTGGTTTGTTCACTGTCAAAGTAGGCTGTTGATCATTGTATCCGGCCAACGGATTTGAAGTATCTTGCATAGACAAATGTTTATAGATACATGTACCCTAATGATAACGGTTGTATTAGTTCTCCAAGTTCCAGTTCTGTATAGTAGACTTGTTTCGACGTTTATGTTGAGGATTCTGACTTTGTTGTTGACTGAAAGTTGTTTGAAATTCTAGATATTCGTCAGTTGTAGGTATGCTGCACTTATTTTGACAAACAGCACCTTCACATCTGCACCAGGTCATCCCTGTCTATCAAGGTACTTGGAAGTTTCCACTTCTTCTCTACCAATTGTGATTCGGTTGGTGCTCACTATGATGTGTTCTCCTTGTGTGTACTGATCCCTACTGCTGCCGAGGCTGCTGCTCAGCTAGGTGTCTTCACCTACATTTGTTGCTGTGTGTAGGATCAAAGAAATATGTCATTATGAAGTTTAAATCGTCTAGTTGCATGTAAGTTGCTTATTGTACTCCATTCTTTCCCCGAGTTGTGGAGGTCTTCATAATCCAGTTAATCACCAGGAGAAACAAAATTAGCTATAGCATAATTCATTGTTACCATTTGTTGACCATGTTTAAATGACAGTCAAATCGATGTTCTGAAACATCTATCCGCTTTGTCGTTTGTTTCAAAAATACATCATATCATCAAACCCTTCTGTGTTAAAAGTATAGTAGTAATGTTCCATTATTAACACTCAGTCAAAGGGGGCAAGAAATATAGCTATTGAGAATAAATGCTAATTCAAAAGAACTAGTGGTCTCATCTGCTGTTTCAAATTACAAGTGCCTAATGAGGCCTTCATCAGTTTGTGTCCCACGTTTTTCATGATATCTTAGTCTAACAAATATTTGTTTCAAAATTATCAAGGCCAAATTCTTTTATTTATCATCTTGTTTTCAGGAAGACAAGTCTATGGGACTTATTCCATTCTATGTAAGTTAGTAATTTTTTGGCTTCACTTATTAACCTTTTATTTATGTACTGCTTTCTATTCCTTTGCTTCATTTTATATCAACTACAATCGTATTTCAACGATTTCAAGTTACTATCACTCCATCATATGCAGATTTTACTTATTACAATGTTTCATCTCTTCATTTATATTTTGATACTAGCATCCCAATTCGCAAATAGACATCTGATCATGTTTATTAGTTGACTTCCATTTCTTCGTTTAAAAGTATCTACTTAGTTGTCAGTATGCAACTAAGTATATTTTTTCGTTCTTATATAGCCTAGCAGAAATCAAAGTAATCTAGTGGATTAAATGTACGTTACAAAATTGGTTTCTGTGATATTATGCGTTTTCATGGCTATGAATAAACAGATTAACAAATCCTTGTCGTGCATCAGTTTATGTGAACAAATAATGTAAATTCTGATTTTTACATTTCTAGTAGGTAGTCGTCATTCAGAAATAAGAATGGATTTACTGAGATTTTAGAAGGCTTGTCCAGAATGCGTCGAGTATTGTCTAACTAATGTGACCCGGAAGCAATCTAGTATTTCATGGATAAAATAGAAAGATCAATCTATGTAACTATCAACGAGATTAAAGCAGTGATTAAACATTTTTAATCATTATATAACCCAAATAACTTGAATATTTAAAGTGTAAACCAATTCTCATTGCGCAAAGTGCGAGATAGTTGTAAAATTGAGACTTCTCTTTAAGGATATCATCCAAAGATGAATGGAATCATATTAAAAATTAATTATGGAAAAAAATGGAATTAAATACTGGATATTTATTGTGTTATTAGACTAAGTTTCATTACTAAAATTGTAGACAAACATTCTACGTGTATCCATCTTCATTACCAACCGATGTATAATTGTAATAGAATTAAGACCTGAAAAGAAATATTTCCTAGTTTATGATATTGTGGATTTAGATTCAAAAACGTCATCAGATAGAAGGTAAGGAGTTCTTTCATATGATGTTTACTGAACTTCAGTGTCTTATGGTATGGACTCCAGACGGACAGTTTCATTTCATCCAAATTTAATACACATTTTATTTAATGTAACTGTAAAATTCACATGATGTTTTTCATGTAAATTTTAAATGTACTTACTCATGATGGAGTATGTTAATTCAGAAAATAATTTTCGAACAGTGTATGAATTTACAAGCATGACCATCTGACCTTTGATACGTACAAAGATTTGTTTAGACACTTTTCAACTGAAATAGGTTGTCATCAGATTCAACGTAATGGTGAATATCAGCTTCAAAACACCTGTTTCCTTCACCATAAGCACTGTCCTTCCGTAAAAGATAAATAAACATCTGAAGTATCAAAATGACTGTTTATACAATGAAGTGTTTAATCGGAATATCTAAATAACAATGAATTCATGAATTAACTACTCTGATGGAAAACACATTAGGACAGTAAAGTTTGAAAATTGCGCCACCGTTTTCTGAGTAACTTCTATAATGATGTTTTTATGATGTACCCAAAATTTGACGATAACTTTGCATTTTGCCCCTTTAGACGAATGAATGATCAGTAATTTACAAATTTCGTATTCATCGTGAAGTACACTTCGCAAGTTAAATTAAATCAGTTGTATAAATCGAGGTATTAGAATCAACTGACTTACTAGGTACAATATATTGTTAGCGAGAAACAGTGATTTGAGACTGACACCTTAGTCTTCCTATGAAAGTGCGAAAGAGACTCATCAAATGCATGACTGAGCGACGTTGAGTTACAAGAACTCGACGCCGTAAAATAATTTTGAACGATTTTCTAATAATGATAGGTAGATGTAACAGGAAAACAATCGACTAACATTTAAAAAATTCCTTTTGTTTTAAGATGTGTGCAACACTCGGAACAACATCATGTTGTTCATTCGACCATTTAAAATCTATTGGACAAGTATGTCGTGACAACGATATCTGGTTACATGTGGACGCTGCATATGCTGGGAATGCTTTTATATGTCCGGAGTTCAGACACTACTTAGATGGAATTGAGGTAAGTTAGGTCTCCAATAAATTTCATTTAAAGCATCTTTTACTGAATCTGTTACTAAACGTTACTATTTGATAAATGAGAAAAATTCGAATTCCAGTAATGATGTATTTTCATTGTGTTTGGAACTACTTCATTTGTTTAGAAGGAAGTGCAATAAATTTTCATTTAATTTTCACATGACAATTTATGGATTACAAGTGATAATCAATAAATTTTTGTTCGTAACCATTGCCTAAATTGATAATTGATATTTCATGGTATTCACAATTGATTGATCACTGGGTGGTGCTTGTATAGTCCTTATTAGTGCAGATCGAATGCTATCGATCATTTTGCAATGTGGCCTCCAGTCTAGGTGACTCGACACTGCGGGCACTATATATTGAGATTTAGATGGTATTAGAAGGCAGTAAATTATTCTTCTAACTAAAATCAACACCCATTTGTATCTGTTTGTTTGGAAACCTGGTCATTATTGATCATTCAGTAGTATTATTATTCTACTTTTGGCAATAAAATTATCTACGCAATTCTAGTCATTCGTTTTTGTATAGATGGCTTGTCAAGCATCAGGAATATATTAAACAGTAAACTGGACTTCAGGCATGAAAGTACTATTGTAATGAGCGCGAACACAAGTGGGAACCATCGAATGTATTTGAAGACAAAATTACAGAATCTCAGTAAGATCTGAGAACCATGTAGTAAATACTTCATTTGCAAAATACCAGTCAATCGTCTCAGACTTCATTAATCATTCGTTTTCAAACTAATCGTTATCCGTTCTCGTTCTCTTTACTTTGATCTTCTTAACCTTCTCTCTCCATGCATTTTACTTTCGATTGATGAAACACACTACTTATATCTGCGACATCAGTAGCACACACCACACTATCATACCGAATTTCCTAAACTGTTTGTTTACTTTATTTTCCGGTTACCACTCAACTTCTAAATGCTAGCTAGTTCATCATCATTTATCAAATTTCGTAATTCTGTTGTCTGAATTATTGAGCGTGCTTTTCTTTGTATTATGATAGCCTTCAAGCTTTAAATCTGAATGTCATCTAACACCATTCACTATTTACATTTTTATTTTCTTTTGCTTAATTTTATTCCAGCTCTTTCGTTTAAATCTTAACTAACTCTTTTAAGTTTGCGTTATCTTTCTCCATAAACACTTGGTTGTTTTCCACTTGAAGTAACGAGGGCATTATCGGCTAGAATAGCTTAGTGATATGGTCTCTGATAACGCAACTGAATCATATTGATTTTTATTCTTAAGTATAAGTTTTTCGGAGTCCAGGAAACTTCCTGATATGTATTACGAAGAATACTGAGAAGGATCCCTTCATTTCCTCTAGAAGAGATTACTTTAGTGGTCACACTACAAAATGATACATAGAATTTCACTATTAGATTGTATGACTATGATTGCTATTCAATGGCCACTTAGTAATATACATCAACTATTGTACGAAATTATACTTAATTGTTTATGAGAAATACTTTTTATCTTTTTCATCAGGATGTTTGGTCCATCAACATCAATCCAAACAAGTGGATGCTGGTCAGTCATGATTGCAGTCTTATGTGGTTAGTTTGACTGACGTTTTTGAAATTTTACAAGAAATACTACTATAGTGTCCGTTTATACAATGATTATTCAGTGCACTCATATGATATATTACAACTATCCTAACTGGTACAAACTAATCCACAAATATTAGTATACGTCTAATTAACTTGAAATAGGACATTTCACTGCGATCTTTGATATTTATGCCGTAATTACTTTCACTGAACAAAAATATACAAAGCAGGTTTCTGGACTTATTTTAATATGCCACTTTGCCCTACGATTGATATGTTTTTTTATGTACAGAGACCTCCTTTATTTTGAGATTGCGTTACGTACTGTAAAAAAAAGGAAAGATATGTTAAGCGTATAACCTATAAATTCAGTATTACCATATTCATCTTGTTGTATTCGGCCGTTTCAAAAAGCTTAATCACTTGACATTATTTCATATTAATCCACCCGAAGTGTGTTTCAACTTGAAAAAGCTACCAAGGGTTTATGCCACACGATCACGACATAAGAAATTTGTTCTTAATTAATACAAAATTTGTAAATTCAAACATAATTTTCAAAAGTAAATTTACTTATAAAAGGAATTCAGTGATAAAAAATGTACTAATCTACCACAGATTTTATCAATTTAAAAATATCAGATAATGGAATTTTCATCTCAAACGCCTTCTTTCACAATGAAAGATAATTTGTGTTGAAAAGCTTCAAAGCATGTGCATCAGCTAGGCCTGGATGGAAGTATGCTAGAAATATATTTGCAAAAGATTAAAATTTTTGTGTGCATTGACACGTTGTTTGTGTGCAGTGCTTTTACAGTTGACAATTTCACCAACAGCCACATCATTAAAATTATCTGTTTCCCTATACCAGTGGTTAATATTTTCAGCAATAGTTAACAAATGAAGTAAAGTGGAATATTTTGTTTTTGTCGAATACAGGGTACGTGATTCGAAAGCCCTCACTAAGAGCATGATTGTCAATCCGTCATATTTGCAACATAAACATAACAGTAAGTAATATTTGGATCGCTCTTTTCTTTTATTGGTATTGGTACATAGGAATACCAAAATAATTATGCGCCACATAAATAGGAAATGAGATTGTAAGGAGATTGAGGAATAAAGAAGAGTATGATTAAAAACAAGTCAATGAATAGAGAATAGTGAACAGTAGTAGTACAAATTGAGAGAAGCAGTTCAATTAAGAAAAATACAACCGGAAAAATCCCTTCGATTAAAGAAGATTGTGTCAATTTAAAAAAAGTGAGGGAAAATTACAACACGATTACCATAGACTTCTGTCCTGAGCCACGTCTGATAACGTTTCAATTCACTGGGTTGCATTATCTCTCAGACACCAACTGGGAAGTCGTAATGGACTGACAAGTCCCAGTCATGTACATACTTTATCCATACCCTGACACCATGCCATGAACTGACCACCTCTCCGCTTTTACCAACCAGTCCCAATGTCGGCAAATAATGCACAATGTGTGATTCGTTGGGATGACATTAGTAGTACATGTCCAAGCCACCGAAGTCGATGTTTCAAGATGGTGACACCAGTTGAATTATCGTCACTGTGGCCGAACACACCTTGCCGAACCTTCACACTATTAATATGGTATTGCGATTGAATGTCAGGAATCGTTCGGAGACAAAGATGAGGAAAAACAGAGAGAGTGGCTTAACATGCCTCATTCGGAGAGGCGGGGTCTTATATGTATAGAGTAAAACTTCTCCTAGTTTGAGATTCCTCAGTAGAACGAAACGGCCATTCAGTGCCTTCAGAATTTTCATGTTGGTCTAGCTTCATTTGACTCATGAACTCAACTATTAAATTCCATTTGTGTTAATTTGTTAAGAACTTGCAAAATTGAGTTTAATTTATTAGTACTTTATGACCATTTCGTTAATAATTTTTCTTGATAAATAATAACTTTATCAAATTAATCTTTCTTATTCCTAGCGCTTGATTTGCGGGTGAGTTATTCGATTTTAGTAGTAGCAGCAGTATTTTGTTATTTACACTAATTGCTTACTATTCATGAATACGATTTTGATCTAGAAAACAAATAAATTGTGATTATAGTTTTGACAGTTGTAAACACAGGAATATAGTTTACACCTTTCATTATACATGAGATTTGACCAGACTATTAATGTTGTTATCTTTGCTGATTCATTTTTTGTTATCATATAAATAGCTCAGTTTAATTATTTTTAAAGGCTGAAAGAATAGTTAATATTTTCTTGTTGCCGGAAGGTGTTTGGATTCAACTTTACTTGTTGATAACCAAAAAAACTATGTGAAATAGTAATAAGACATGAAAATGTCACTTAACTTTAACTATTTAAAAATCCCCCCAATCATATTAAGACATCAATACATGAACGAAGAATATTTTATTCAATAAGTTCTCTTCATATTCTACAATTATATATCTAAATTAACAATCCTAAAAGTGACCAGGTTAACGGTAAAATACGTAGTTTAAAATTACATCATTTGAATATAGGATTGTTGATAAGATGAAATGAAATTGAGCATTTTGAGATGACTAATAGATAGTGTTAACTTGAATAAACCTTTACGTGTGAATAAATATAGATAAGATTATTAGTGCAATTAACTTGAGAACCATACTATACTTCATTGACTTGTTGCCTGATTAGAAAAAAATTTGAACAAAGGATTAAAACAAGATTTCTTGGAAGTGACTTCATTGAATCAGAAAAACGTCTCAACAAGATTTTATTTTAGAACAGCGGAGAGTTATTTAACTACTCGAATCGTTCGGAAATTTTTTCTTAATCCCTTTGGATAATAGTGACTATGATTATACTCTTCTAACTACCTAAGATTTAGACAGTTAACATAAACATTTCATTCTTAAATAAATTAAATGATTAGTTTTTATAATCAAATTGGTTTAGTATTCAACTTTTCATTTCAATCTCTTTTTGTAAGTCACTGTTAATAAGAGGTCAACATATCGTCATTCTAGTAGGATATCAAAATTTCGTATAATTCACATATTATAAATCAACATGGATTCAATAATCATAGGTCTATAACTGCTGTGTTTGAAGAGATAACGAATTCACCTAGTCTGAGAACGGAATGAACAATTAGTGACTCAATGACAAAATAAACTAACTATTTCAATGCGCCCCAGCATCACTAACTACAGAGTGAAGTCCAGCTTCAGAGGAGAAAAATGTATTCCACAAGCAGCAAAAAGAACGAACAACACACACAAACACAATTCAAGTATACACATACAGCATAAAAATGTCCTTTCGAAAAGTCACAAAATAGCATATTGAAAGAGATAATGAACCAATGACATTTAAGGTTCTTTCAAGTGGGAATGTTGTAACGATATGAGGGTGAGAATGGGGGCTTTTGTTGCGAAAACAAGAAATTCAGATTTCCAAAATAAAATTGCAAAAATAAGGTGTTTACCAAGTGAGTTCTGGGGATCTAACATCCCCAACATTAACGAACATGTATTTGTTATGTTTTAATAATGAAGTGAAATTGTACTGTCTTAAGTTACTCAATATTAGCTTGCTAGTATTGTTTTCTTTCCTAAATTTTAGCATTGGGGAATTCCTTTAAGTCGAAGATTTAGAGCGCTTAAATTATGGTTTGTAGTTCGAATATATGGAGCAACAGGTTTGAGGAATTATATTAGATCAGTACGTAAGCAACTGAATTACATTAATCTCTTTAGTAATAAGTATTTAGTTTGAAGTAATCGTGAATTCACTGGTTATTAATTTATTAAACATTTCATACACAACGAATACAATCAAACTAATGTCTCTTTTATATTTCTGTGTTGAATAATATAATAGTTTACTGATAAAGCATCTTAAATTACGAAATGATGTTAAAAGTGAATTTAATTATCACTCTTAATAACTAAATTGAGTAATAATCCTAAAAATGTTTTACATATTTTACTGTATTAGTAAAACGTTCACCATACTGACTGTATGTAGACAATCGGACAATCAATATTTCGAGGTTACGCAACGTTGCCAAGTTTATTTGTACTTTAAATCACTACCCTTGTGATTGGTGTACATCATGACACTAGTCATCAAAAAGCACGTATAATTGACTTATGTAATCATTTCCTATTCACTTTCCACAGTTATGTTGGAGCCATATATATAAAGAGGTTACCTCTTATTTTCTTTCTTGAGACATAAAAGATTTCTCCTGAAGTCTAACCCTTCCTCTGATTTACATGAGACTGTAATAGCTGTGTTTTATTCATTTTATTAATCTAGTAGAAGTTCCGCTCCCGTATCGATATTATATCCATGGTTTGATTAACACCTCAATAAGAGCAGCATAATACAACTAGACATATATTGCATTACAATTTGCTTATTCTGTTATGCAAGGAAATTAAGCTCATATAAGTGCTCACCACTAGACTAGGTGTTTCTAGGTTCAATTACAGATAAGATCATGTATCCGCACCATTGAGAAATCCCGAACTAAAACAAAATAACTGTTCAATTCTTCCTAATTCCCACTAATAGTCTAACTTCAATCAATCTGTGATTTAATTTATCCAAATTAAATAATCTTTACAACTTCCCCTCAATACTAAAAATATTTATATTTAAATATTTTAGCATGTACAACTTGCTAAATATTTTGTGAATAAGGTGAAAACAAATAACGCTTATGAAATTGTTGGTAATCCAGTTATGGGACTTGTATGTTTCAGATTAAAGGTAGGATACTAAAATTTTATTTCATTTTCATTTTAACTTGAATAGATTTTTTTAAATAGATGTTTTCATTATTTTCCATATCACATACCATTAATAATTACTATTTATGGTAATGAATCAACTTCTTATTTGTAGAATAGAATGTTTGTTTGAATGTTTAAAGGGATGTTTTCTATTATTATTATTATTTCATTATGAAGTTCAACAGTAAGCTTCATAATGAATGTGAGACAAGGAATTATTTTTTAGATGAATTGAATTTCTGATTAGCGTTATTTTAGCGAGTTAGTTTTCTAAGGGATGGGGTCTCTAAAGCTCATGCCCAACCCTCCTCCTTTACCCGGGCTTGGGATCGGCAGTAACTCTAGAAGAGCTACAGGCGGAGTTAAATGAATTGAATTTATTCTACAATATTCTTACTTATTATTATAAGTTCATATTAGAAATTTAATGACTGATTGTAATCACTTCGTCATACATACTAATTATCGTTTGTAAAGAATTTCAAGTATTTGAAAATTTCCACTTAAAATTAGACTGTTATTAATAATCAAGATAATTGAGTGCAAGAATGTTATATTCGAGAAGTATTCGTGTAGAAAGAGGTTTCATTAATTAATCTTCAATGTAATGGATTTTTATAGTAGAAACAACTTTTCTATCACTAATTTGTTCAGATATGAAATGGAAACACTAAGAATTTCATTGATGCTTTCTGAAAATCTGCTGGTTATGAATGAAATAAGGCATATCTAAGAAAATATTTGATACAGTAGTGTGTATGACAAAATTCTAGTTCGATAGCAATCATTGCATAACTTTTTTTATTCGGTTTAAACACATTATAAAAGTACTATGTGTAATTAACATAAATGTCTGCCGACCTACATTGATATCTTTTTAAGTTATGTATGAACTTCTGAATTAACAGGACGTATATCTGCAAAACTAACTGTTAAGATCAATATATTATAATTATACTTAAAATACACACACAGAGAATGAAAATAATCATAGTGTAAATAACTGTATATGACTAATTCCCACGACCCCGCCTCGCGCACTGCTGAGGAGTCCCACAATAGGACGAAACGGTCATCCAGTGATTCCATGTTTTCCATGGTGGCTTATCTTCAATTGACTCATGATCTCAACTATTGAAATTACTACAATCTCCACAAAACCCCTTCTGATAGTTATCTTTTTCTCTGATGTCATATATGTAGATATTACAGAAAAATTTAATTTATATTCACTGGAGATAATCAAACTATTAAACTGGAAACGTCAAGTGACGTTTCTCACACATAGTTCCTTTTATTAACTTAAAAAGAACGAGAATTATGATTTGAGAAAGATGATATAAATTCATTGTATTTCGTAATGTTTTCAGGTTTTTGAAACCTGTATTATTTACTAAACACATTGATGTACTTGAAAACATAGAAGCTGTTTTGATTGGAAATTAACAAATTAGCATAACGTAGCCAAAATCTAAATAAAGTAAATAAAGCATTCCAAATATATATATATATATATATATATATATATATATATATATATACATCGTTTTCATAAGAACACTGTGGAATATTGACAGTACCAAAGAACTAATGAGCTAGAAATCAATGGTTATGTAGCGAACACGCGATAATTATGAGTAGAAACTAAAACTAGTAAAGTTTAATTAACTAAACAAAGAATTGTCTTGCTAAAACGGAGTGAAAAAAAATGATGGAGTAAAATGGTTGAATGAACAGTATAGTTGAAAAAAATGTTACCATAATAAACACAAACTGACAAAACTCTCCTTTCGATCATATAATGGGTTTCCAGAGCTTTGTAGTAATAGTTTCTGTAAATATGAGGTTAGAACTTGATTACTTGGCAGTATCCACCTGATATCCTTGTATACAGCATAGGGAACTACTCAACTTCTTCATTCCTCTTGAGAACAAGCCCTTTGAAACATGTTCAAAAGTATGATCTAATATTTGTTATGTTAATGTAATCATCTTGAAAAGTACAAATAAATCTAGAGATACGATTGGTACTAATATAAAATGGATGCCCTTCATCCGTTGATTAAGCTACTGAACACGTCATTTTATATAAGATTATTCGTTTGACTTCTGGTTAAATTCCAGCCATTCTGATGTTAATTCTTCTACTGATTATCCTAGCACAAAGATTACCTGTATATTTGAGGGTAATATCAGTGAATATGACCAGTGAACTTTCGTGAATAGGAGTAATTCGTTAATTAAATACTTGAATTTTATCGATTCTTGGAGTTTGTGCGCGGTACGAGCCCTATCTATACTATGAAATAGTGTTTCGACGTTCTTGTCACTGATTGAATGAAAATCACTAAAGTTCAGACATAAATTACTTAATGTATTTTGTAGGTATTAATGTCAAGGTTGGACTTGATATTTTCAAATACATTGAGCATTGGGCAGAAAGTTTTTCATATATCATACTTACATTCCAACGCAAAAATTAATTATACAGTGACAATTCATACAAATTCACACTGACCAAGAATAACTTGATATTGACACTTTCAGATTTATTATGATTTTGACTGTACTAAAAATATTCTGCATCGTCTTCATTGTACTATTTAAATTCATGTTAATTTATTTCGGTTATTTATTTAATTTGAAAAATTGATTTACATTAGGTCACGGGACGTCAGAAATACAGTTGTTCTACTCATTGTGATATTGTAGTGAAGGAGAACACATGTGAGAACAATCGGATATAAGTCAACACAAAATTACAGAATCTCTTAGTAAAACCTGAGAACCATACAGTAAATTCTTCATTTGAGAAATATCACTCAGTTGTCTCAAGCTTCATTGTCCTTTCGTTTCCACACCAATAATCTTCTTAACCTTCTGCCTCCAGGCATTTTACTTTCGATTGATGGTACATACTACTTATATCTGTCGACATCAGTAGCACACACCACAGTATAGCAAAAAATATATTTGTTACTTCATGTACTCTTTTGAAAAACCTGAAAAAATTCTCATCAGCTATTGGTGCACCCAGCTGACAACATTCGAAGAATGTTAAAGTTAATACTCAGGCTTTTAGAATGACTTGGTCTAATACTGAAACATGTTACATCATCCAGAAATGATGTTTTTTAGTATTAATCTTCTAAATTTGAAGTAAAGAATATAATAATGTACTAGCTTTAGAGAAAAAAGGAACAAAATCCAGGGGAAATAAATTAACCAAAACTAAATTTGATGATTTAAGTAGCTTAGTGAAAATTTTACGTTGTATATCTAGTACATCAACTGCGGTCTTTAGCTATTTGATATTTAGGTCATACTTTTAAGAAATTTCACAAGAAACATTACTTTGACTAATATCAATGCAATCATTTCTGAAAAGAAAGTATCATAGATTATTGAGATGGTGGAGAAATGTGGAAATTTTGGATAAAGGAAACTCCAAAAACACCAGAGAGTTTCTATAAGCTTGGCGCTCAAGTCAGTCAGCAATCAACCAGCGCATTGAAGTCGACCCAATTTATCAATCAATCAGGAAAATTATGTACAAACATAGAAACAAAAATCAAACAAATGGAAGATACAACCAAAACAAAGAAGTAAACAATAACAGGTTTAAGGTTAACAAGAACCAATCGACATGGAGGCCTACAGGACAAGGTGTGAACCACATGTGGAAAAATTAGAACACTTCGCTCCTACCTGAAGTTTGTGCTGATGATGTCGTTCAGAAGAACAATGAAAGCTCCACGATCAAACCGTCCAGCTCAGAGAAAAAAATTCCATCCAAATCATAGATTATAATATAAATAATCTGACTAATTGTGCTTAGTCTATTTAATTGCTAATTATAAATAATATGACAATGTTGTTTATTTTAATCATGATGTTTCTATTCAAAGGGATCCAATGAATTGACTCGATGTTTAGTCCATCTTATTAATAAGAGCCGGGAAATACATATTGTACCCTCGATGGCCAGAGATATCTACTTTATTCGATTTTCTATAAATTATGAAAAGGCCTGTATCGAAGACATTGATTATTCGTGGTCGGTGATTGAAACATCCCGAAAAATACTAACCACTCAAGTGAGTATTGCTTTATTTTTAAATGAACGTATTTAAGGAATAACTTTTGAAAGGCCTCCGGTTCTCTCGAGACACAAAACACTTGCCTATCAACTTTAGTAAAACTGTGATGAACGAGAACACAAGTGGGGATGACCGAATATACTTGAATACACAAGTATGGAATTTCTTGGTCAAATGTGAAAACCATATGTTCAATACTTCATTTGCAAACTGTCCATCAGTTGTCTCAAGCATCATCCTACCTTCATAACCATAACAACTACTCTCTATTCCCGTCCCCAACCTTCTACCGCCAAGCATTTCATTTCTAACAGGTGTTATATACCACTTATGTCAACACTAGTATCACGTACCAGAAAACTATATCAGTAGAGTAAGTTAAATAAGAGCTTGTCAAATAAAAGAACCTCTGCTTTCTACGTTGATCAAAATTTCTGGTTGAATGTCTATTGCTAAAGTATATACAAGTAAATACGAGCTCCATAGGCTCATTAATTAATGATTACAACAGAGATTAATGTCAGCATCAAAGGACCCATCTTCTTCTAGTATCAATGACAAGACTAGTTTCAACAGTACACTGTCCGTTTTATCCTGTAAGAAATCTGTCAGTAAGCATGCAACCGAAGAATTGTCCTATTAGAATAGTATCAATTGTTTCTAAACTAAACAAGCTGTAGAGACAAATAACTCAAAACAATCAAGTCGGACGAATCACTATGAACGATGAATTTATTATTTTCAATATTGGCTAAACGTGATATACTATTTTTATGAAAAATAAGGGATTTTATAAACGGAATGAAATCGTGAGGAAAAATGTGAAATAATAATAGATAGTGTTAACTTGAATAAACCTTTACGTGTGAATAAATATAGATAAGATTATTAGTGCAATTAACTTGAGAACCATACTATACTTCATTGACCTGTTGCCTGATTAGAAAAAAATTTGAACAAAGGATTAAAACAAGATTTCTTGAAAGTGACTTCATTGAATCAGAAAAACGTCTCAACAAGATTTTATTTTAGAACAGCGGAGAGTTATTTAACTACTCGAATCGTTCGGAAATTTTTTCTTAATCCCTTTGGATAATAGTGACTATGATTATACTCTTCTAACTACCTAAGATTTAGACAGTTAACATAAACATTTAATTCTTAAATAAATTAAATGATTAGTTTTTATAATCAAATGGGTTTAGTATTCAACTTTTCATTTCAATCTCTTTTTGTAAGTCACTGTTAATAAGAGGTCAACATATCGTCATTCTAGTAGGATATCAAAATTTCGTATAATTCACATATTATAAATCAACATGGATTCAATAATCATAGGTCTATAACTGCTGTGTTTGAAGAGATTACGAATTCACCTAGTCTGAGAACGGAATGAACAATTAGTGACTCAATGACAAAATAAACTAACTATTTCAATGCGTCCCAGCCTCACTAACTACAGAGTGAAGTCCAGCTTCAGAAGAGAAAAATGTATTCCACAAGCAGCAAAAAGAACGAACAACACACACAAACACAATTCAAGCATACACATACAGCATAAAAATGTCCTTTGGAAAAGTCACAAAATAGCATATTGAAAGAGATAATGAACCAATGACATTTAAGGTTCTTTCAAGTGGGAATGTTGTAACGATATGAGGGTGAGAATGGGGGCTTTTGTTGCGAAAACAAGAAATTCAGATTTCCAAAATAAAATTGCAAAAATAAGGTGTTTACTAAGTGAGTTCTGGGGACCTAACATCCCCAAAACCTCTCCTTTTAATAGAGTACGTTCCCGGGGTCCACATACATCTTGACCGTCTGTCGCCATTGTCGGAGTGACCACCTTCTGGATCGTAAACCGACTTGTTGTATTTCATCCTGTGTAGGGACTTCAGGTAGACTAAAATATCTAACGGGATATCGAACGGTAGATTTCCTTCTGTCACTGGGCGAAGTGGGGCTAGCCGCTTACGTATCTGGCTTCGATGTTGAATCTACCTGCCCCTTCCCGCCTTTATCTCATATATGACCCGGCCTAGCCTTGCGACCACACGTGCTTCGGTCCAAGGACCATGATTTGGTCTGTAGTCCCGAGCGAACACCGAACATCCAGCCTCGTACGTTGACAGCTTCTGAGACTTGTTTATATTGGTGATACACCAAGTAATAAATGTCAGTGCTACTGAGTGCTTTGCTTTTTACAGGCCTCTAGTAAACTTATTTAATATTTTGTGGTTAAAAATGGCACATTAATTGCCAGAAAGTTATTGTTTATCTTTATCAATCGATGACAAATTTTTCATTATAGCATTTCTATAAACAACATCTATCTATTATGAACATGAAACGAAATTCATACATTCCAATAAAAGCTGCATCATTTAGCGATGATCATACATCCTCAAACTCCGCCGAACTTCAACGTAGACATGGATCTACATCTGCAGAGGAGTCAGTGAAAGTTGAGTGGTGAAATTTTCCAATAAAAAAATGAGATTCACTGGAAACATGGAAGAATCCTACACTTGAAAAATGACGTAGAGACTAATAATAATAATAATAATAATAATAATAATAATAATAATAATAATAATAATAATAATAATAATAATAATAATAATAATAATAGAAAGGTCAACTGACTGTTGACAAAATGATGTTAGTAATAGTACAGAAATATCTATACTATAATAATAACAACAGTAATATTGTTGTATGAACTTTGTTGGACATGAAAGCAACGTTGATAAACTTTTTCATTTTAAAGACTTATTTGTTCACCAAGTTATCACATGTTAATAATCATTCTAAGCATGAACTTCCTATTCCTTGTTGTTACACATAAAACTTTTCATTCAAGATTAATTGAGTTCAAATGAATACTAATAGTGAACTTAACAATCTCACAAACTTATTTCATGTTGATATTCAGTTTATCTTTTATTCTTAATCCATGGTGTAGAGCATAAAATTTGAAAACATTTTTGATCCGTTGGCTATATTTATTTGTCATCATTTGAATAAGATAAATAATATACTGTTATGAGAAACTTTTTATATAATTATCACAATTGTTGATTTATTTCGGTTCAGTTGATTGATTGTGAAGATTAGTTCCAAGGACGAAATTAGCTTACATCACTCCCAATACACCTAGCTACAAATCAAGGAGCAAAAAACAGTTCCTTCTTTTTAGTTTGAGATTCCTTAGTAGCTCACACTTACGACCCCATCAGAGCATTCGGACCTCCCAGTGAGACCCCAATAATCATTTAGACGACCGAGTGAGAATTCAGCTTCCAACTTGCACTACAGCAGAACAATTACCTAGTAGTCCTCCAGTTGATATCCATCAGTGACTAAACCAATCTCGCTACTCAGGTTTTATCAGCTGGATAACAACACGAAAATACACGTTTAGTAAAGAAATATGAAAAAGTAAACATCTGGTTTAATACTCTATCTCAAAAAATAAAGCCAAATGTTTCAAGGCTACTCCATTGCCATTATATACCGGTTACTTGATTATCCAACTTTGGAGGTTATTGCTTAAACCGTCTTACAATCTAAAGATTGAGTGATATTAAGCTAATTTCCAGGAGGACTGAATAGTATGACACCAGAATTCTGAAATACTCGAAATAGTATTTAACTTCTATTCATGAATAAAAATCAGTAATAATGTTGAACGTTGTAAAAAGCATATGAAGTACATGAGATCACTGAAATATTTCTTTACATTATCACAAGCCAGTCACTGATCCTTACTTAAAAACAGTAAATGAGAATGAAATATTTTAACTGTCAGCGTTAAGTACCATCTATTTTACATCCAATATGTACATTCAATTAAAAGTAAACTTTTAATTAACAAATCCTTAAATAGTCAGACTATTGTTACAATCGTGATAAACACTTAATTTAAAACCACAGCTTATCAACTCAATGTTTCTCAGTAAATTGTCAATTATATTGGAAAATGAACAAACTTCTTTTGAGTCCTAAAAATTCATTGTGACTTACTGAAAAGCTGTTTATTCTAACACTGTGCAAAATAACCTGATGTAGGCATTGATTTCTAAAATTATGTTGAATGCAAATCAAAAGTAGGCTTACATTTAGCTTATTATAATAATGCACAAGTGCAAAGAAAACCACCAACTTCGAGATCACCAAGCTGGATTCCGTAAGTATCGGTCGTGCACAGACCAAATTGCGACACTACGGATCATCGTCGAACAATCAATTGAGTGGAACTCGTCACTGTACATCAACTTCATTGATTATGAAAAGGCATTTGACAGTGTAAATAGAAGAACGTAATGGAAACTCCTTCGACACTACGGAGTTCCTGAGAAGATTGTCAACATTATCCGGAACTCATACGACGGAATACAGTGCAAGGTCATGCATGGAGGAAAGCTGACAGACGCATTCCAAGTAAGGACCGGAGTCAAACAAGGCTATCTACTCTCTCCCTTCCTCTTTCTTTCGGTGGTCGACTAGATTATGAAGACCTCGACATCTGAAGGAAAACGCGGCATACAATCGACAGCTCAGAACGGTTTGGACTTCGCAGATGACCTAGCCCTCCTATCGCATACACATGAACAAATGCAGATAGACAGTCAGTGTGGCAGCAGTCTCTGCATAAGTAGGCCTCAACATACACAAGGGGAAAACCAAGGTTCTCAAATCCAACACGAAGAACAGCAATCCAATCATACTTGATGGCGAAACTCTGGAAGATGTAGAGTCCTTCACATACCTGGGAAGCATCATCAATAAACAAGGAGCATCAGATGCAGACGTAAAGGCGAAGATTGGCGAAGCAAGGGACGCATTCCTTCAATTGAAGAACATATGGAACTCAAAACAACTTTCAACCAATATCAGTCAGAATCTTCAATACTGTTGAGAAATACAACGGAACCTCCAGAAGCCCTAATGGAGCAGAAGAGTTTCGGCCAATCAGAGCATGGAGTTTTCTAGAATATTACCGTGGTATGCTACTATTGGTCTCTTAGCGGATTGGCCAAAATATAATGTTGATATGACAAATGCTAATAATTTATAAATACCCGTTTTTCTGTACAAAAATGAACCTTCGGAGTAAAGTGCTTTCCGCTTAATTTGCGCCTTTCCTCTCGTGTTAAGGTCGCTGTGTAGTTCTAGCTTGCGGGTTACCAGAATAGCTTAGGAACCGAATAAAGCGTTCAAATTAGCAAGACTTATCATTGGTGACGCGGTGAAAAAAATCCTGAAACTTTAATTAACGAATCAACGTCAGCCTGCAGTTGGACGAAATTCAGTGTAATTATTTCGAGCAATCAGCATACAAAATTCATACCGGTGTCCTTCAACGACATTGATTGCTAATTAGTCATACAGCATTTTTCATTACCATGCTGATTCAGAAAATGGCTATCTCTTCCGATCAATTACAGTTGCTATTTGAGCAACAACAGCAGCGTTTCAAGAAGAGCCAGTTGAATGTTTTAGACAATTTACGCACACGGCTGCTAAATCATCCATGTTTTTGAGATATGACCGAGGTTGATAAATTAATTTCTAATTTGCATACAGAGCTGGAAAATGGCTGCAGAACACATTAACGTGTAGATGAAACTCTCCGTGAATCCTTGGTGAGCGGTAATGTAAACGAATTAGTAGCACTCATTCATGATGCGCCCAGAAACATGCCCTGCCGTGGGTTCAAATCCCATTGTCCCCGAAACACTATGTGCAAACACTGGATTGTCCAGCTCACAGAAAGATGATGTCTTATTAAATGCTCATGAAATTATTGCAGTACCCGCCCACAAAGAAACAGAAAATGAATCAAGCATCATAATGAAGACAGTTGCATTAAATGGAGCTCATCATTCTACGACAAAAGTTTTTGGTGAATGTACTTATTGGGGTTCTCTAGCTGTTTTACCAGATATGAGTCATCTTAATGACTCACATGCCTTTGATCAAATTTCTTACAAGAATGAGGAAAATTTGTCGGATTTATCAAACGATGATCAAGAACCTAATGAAATTTTGATAGATGCTGATTATTCTAGTGATCGATTATCTACTAATGAAATTTTCAAGAGATCTGACGAAAATGTTTCACAAGAATCAGACCTTAATGACCTCGTATCTAGTGTCGCTGATCCTCACCATCTAGTCAGTTCTAGTGGGTTCTCTACACAATGCGGGAAATATGCTTTAAATAAAGTAGCTTGGGAATATGGGGACCCAACATTATTTCATGTGGGAGGATGAAGTCATAAAATTTAAAGATGGATCTCAACTTTGAGTCTTCATTATGAGCTTTGTTCAAGATTAATTCCGTTTTGATTCAATGTAATGATTACTGAATGTAGTATTTCTTTTCTTTTCACGTGTGATATTTTATTCTGTATAATATACGATATTGTTGTATTCCATTGACATGAACTATGCTTAGTATGTGATTTGTTATAACTCTAAGTATTTTTCATATATGTGATTTCATCCTAATTATTAATCAAAATCGGTGTACAATCAATATATAAATGAGTGTATTTCCTATTAAAGTAGTCATGTTTTAAGGTTAATAAATCATCACTTATACCAGTCTTTGTGTTCTTTCGCATCGTGGGAATTGCAGAGGTTCCTCGTTCCGAGTATAGGTGATAAGCGTTTCTGACATAACAATCAGCGACGACCAAATACAAAAAGTAGCATTAAAAGAGCCAAGATAATAAGCATTCAAACGAAAAGTTATAACAAATACCGTCAAGGAAGTTCTACTGTACGGAGCTGAAACTTGGAGAATTGCAACAATCACCATCAAGAAGGTACAAGTATTTACATTTACTGAACTACTTATAATCCACTGATTACAATGGATAGTTTACGCAGTATCGTCGGATTTTTACAAAATCAAATATTTGAACATAGAACAGTTAACCGGTCAGTGAGGCTCAATCAATATTGAAAGTGTTGGGGATACTAGATTCCCAGAAATCACTTGGTAAACGTTACGTTTTTGTAGTTTTAATTTCGGAATTTGAATTCCCCATTTTCGCGCCCACTCCCATTCCCACTTGCAATGACCTTAAGTGGCATTTGCTCGTTTCCTCTTTTAGTACGCGATTTTGTGACGTTTTTCGAGAACATTTTTATACTATACATATATATGCATGGGTTGTGTGTTTGTTCGTTCGTACTTCCGACTGCTTGTGGAATATGCATTTCCTTCGGCTGAATCTGGTCTTCTTCCTTTAGTTAACAAGGCTGGGACACAGTAGAATAGCTTAGCTTGTCCTATCGCTGTGTTGTTGACTTTCGTTCCGCTTTCCGAATTTTGGTGATTCGTAATCTCTTCAATAGTAGCACAATTTGTTAGATCTACTCCTATGACTATAATAAGTGGTACAATAAACGTGAATGAAATTAAAACTTTAAAGTATCCGAAAAACTGGTACCGGCTCGAGA